TTTTTTTTTTTTTTTATACTTTTATTTTTTTTATTTATTTAATATATAAATATATATATATATATATATATATATATATATATATATATATATATATATATATATATATATATATATATATATGCAAGGGTTGCCATCCTCTGCCTTATTAAGAACATAAATTGAAATTAAAAATGAATGTCTAATATAACAAATATAAAATTTATTTTAAAAAAACAGCATCAATACTTATGAATTATAACATCATTAATTTCATTATTGCAATAAATAAAAGTAAACATTGTGATACGAAACAAAATATTCAAAAACGATTCCTTGGATTTACTCGGTTTGTTTACGGTGAGTGGTTGTAAACTATTTATTTGGGCTGAATTTAAACAAACAAATTAGGTTGAACATTATTAAACTTGATTTGTTTGTTTAAATTCAACACAAATAAATTGTTTGCAACAGTTCTGCATGCAACACTTTTTTCAGAGGACAAAATTATTCGCCCTCCTGTGCAATATTGTGTGTTTTCCAATATTTCCCAAATGATGTTGAACAGATTCAGGAATTTCTCACAGTATTTCCTCTAATATTTGTTCTTCTGGAGAAAGTCTTATTTGTTTTATTTCGGCTAGAATAAAAGCAGTTCTTAATTATTTTAAAGCCATTTTAAGCTCAAGATTATTAACCCCTTCAGCAATATTAGTGTTGGATTGTCTCCAGAACAAACCACTGTTATACAATGACTTGCCTAATTACCCTAACTTTACCCTAATTACCCTAGTGAAGCCTTTACATGCCACTTTAAGCTGAACACTAGTCAGATATCTAGTCTAATATGATGAGATGTCATCATGGTGAATATAAAAGATATCAGTTATTACAAATGAGTTATTAACACTATTATGATTAGAAATGTGCTAAACACTGAATCTTCTCTCTGTTAAACAGAAATTGGGGAAAGCATTATACAGGAGGGCGAATCATTCAGACTGTGCTGCTATGAGTCTTGAAAATGAGTGAATGGGAAACAGAATACACCACAAGAACAAACATAGCACAGATAACAAAAACAATTCCAGACTATTAACTGAAGAGACCGGGGGTTTAAAGTGGACATATTATGCAGAAAACACTTTAATAAGGGGCTTTGATTGACATTCCTTCTTTGTACGTGTCATCAGAGGGGGAAAGCCCCGCCCACTAGTGCCCATCTCTCCCTCATTAGCATAAACAGCAGCCCTGAGTGAGAAGCAGCCAATTGTACATTATCACACTACTACAGCTTCTTAGCTCTGGAAAACATAATCATTTCCACGAGTCGATGCTTGGTGTATTTATTTATTTGTTTAGTAGCCGTATGACAAGGAGAATGTACAATCATCAGTCATGATCACAAAATACACCCGATTAATGTGTCGATTTTTATAATAACGACCTGTCGATTCAGAATTGCACATCATCCTTAAACAGAAATAAAAACAAAACTCTTATGCATGAGTAAACATTCACTTCAAACGAGGAGACAACACCCGAACATCATCATGACCTGAAGAAGGACAGAATTAAACTCAAGATGATTGATGATGGTCAGATTATTATTATTATTACAGCCTGCGATCTAAACATTCATAGCCATTATATATGTATATACTACATGTATGCTTATGTGCTGCTCTTCAATGTAAAGAAAAGACTGGAATGAGTGATACAGGAAGTCCCGTATAGAAATCTGATACATGGGAATACATGCAAATTACATATATGACATGCAAATTCATATTTGGGTTTCAGATAAATAAAATAAGTCATATATTGAAAACCTGTGCAGATTTACATATATACCTTTTCAAGTACATGTATATACACACTCAGCGGCCACTTTATTAGGTACACCTTACTAGTACCGGGACAGACTCCCTTTTGCCTTCAGAACTGCCTTAATCCTTCATGGCAGAGATTCAACAAGGTACTGGAAATATTCCTCAGAGATTTTGCTCCATATTGACATGAGAGCATCACACAGCTGCTGCAGATTTGTCGGCTGCACATCCATGCATTGAGGTGCTGCCATGTGATCGGCTGATTAGCTGATTAGAAATTTGCATTAATGAGCAGTTGGACAAAATTTCTATATATATATATATATATATATATATATATATATATATATATATATATAATTTGTTTTTCAAATATTATTTTTAATATTATTTCAACATCTGAATTGAAAAATTTGTAAACCCAAATTAAGATTTTGGGAAAAAATTATTAATATTTTAAGGAAAAATCAAGAGAATTATAAAAGCAAATAGTTTAGTTAGTTTAGTTAAATTTAATTTAATATCTTTAATTTTAATATCTTTTTATTCCTAGAGATATTCGGTGATCAAACTCTTATTTTAATTAATAAAACTGCTTAATAAACGTGTTTCGTTTAAATCCGTGGTCTCAATCCTCTGGAGGGCTGCATCTCTGCAGAATTTAGCTCCAACCAACTCCAAATCACACCTGCTTAACAGTCTCTAGTAGTCTTGAACACCTTGATTATTTGGATCAGCTGTGTTTGATTAGGGGTGGAGCAAAACTGTGCAGAGCTGCGGCCCTCCAGGAATCCAGTTTGAGAATATATCATCTATAATCACTGGGAAATGGATAAAAATATTAATTTTCAAAAAAGGGGCTGTACTGATTTATGCAGAGCACTGTAAATATTATAGATAAATGCATATTTGTAATGCCAATAGTTAATAAAACAACATATGAAAGCAGCCATTTTTGCAGTAGCTCTAAAAGAATGTTGCATATATGACATATATTTTATTTCTTTATAAAAACCTTTTGCATATTTTCCATGCATCAGATTTCTATGTACGGTGGTCGTCCAATGTGGGTTTACATTAATGCCTGTATCCATACAGTATGGCCAATATTCTGAATATATGTACACATGAAGCAATCCGCTGACAGACAGATGCTTATTTTACATAACAGTCACTTCCAAATCTCTTTTGAAGCTTAATATCTCAATTATTCACTGTAAAAATGCGTTTCTTTCTTGATTTTTTTGTCTCATTTATAGTCCAGATATCTCAAAACTCTTAAATCCTGAAGCATTGTATAGACAAGCCAACAATATGGAGCTGTTTTCAGAAATAATGAGTCAAAATGAGGTGAGTTTTTCCTTAAAACAAGCCAAATAATATGCCAATGGGGGAAGAGAAATAAACTAGTTTTCCCTTCTGACATCAGATTATTCTACTCACCGCATTGTCCCATTATCTAGCTTGTTTTAAGGTAAAACTCACTTCATTTTGACTCATTATTACTGAAAAGAAGACAATATTTTTGGCTTGTCTATAAAATGCTTTTTGATTTAAGAATTGTAAGACATCTAAATTAGAAATAAGACAAAAAACTAAGTTGGAACATCTTTTTTTTTGCAGTGTCAACTTGGGTTTTTGGTGTAAATAATCTGTAAATGGCCAAATATGGGCCAATATCACTAATATCAAAGCTATTCTGCGTTAAATGAAGCAGTGTCATGCATGATAATCTGTGATCTGCTTCCACCTAGTGGAGGAGACGAAACCAAAAACACACTTTCCTGATGATTTACAGATATCATCTGAGATTTACAAGCACCCTAAGCAGACAGCATGTGTAGTACAGTGTGTATGTAGTATAAGAGATGCTCTGCCTACAGAACTGCCCTTCATAATGATCATATCAGCTGCGTGGTCATTAAGACTTGATGATTAATGACGAATAATGAGGAATGAAACTGTACTGCAAACATTATTTACATACTTACATCTTGTTTTCCAGTACAAAGTAATCTTAAATCAGGATACATCCATGATGAGAACCAATATAACTAATCAATAATGTATATTTAATATTGTGCAAATTTATTATGATTATATTTCTTATTATATACTTATTTATACAACAGTTCTGTCTGGTTCTCAAATCTGATTGGCTGATAGCTGTGAGATGTTAAAGTAATATCAGCACAACTTCTTCACCCTTGTGTATCACTCCGCCCACACGAGTGGCAAGCAGAAGACTACAGTTTGACAAATATTGCAGCTGTTGGACAACATCATGAACTTTTGAGGGTTTTCTAGAGGAGAATGAACCTTTTTAGATTGCAACCATGCCTTTTATTATAAGGATAGTGCCTATTTTAGATATTCATTAGTTCGGAGATTCAGCACGTCGGCTTACAAGACGGTTGACTTTCTGCCACAAGATGGCGACAGAGGCAACTTAATAAGTCCTTAATGGAGAAAAACACAGCGTAATTTCAAACTACAGCTGATCAAATCATAATAAATCAGGTGACATTCAAAGTCGATCCATCTCTTGTGTATGTTGCAGTGCTGTATTTATACCACAGTAATCTGCTAGTGTTTGCTTTGGCTATTTCATGGCTAATCATTGTGATCTCCTGATTGCAGCAGAGAAATACTGGAGAATCTCTGTAGACTGATGGCATTTCATGCTGTTCAGCCTCATAATCTTAAAATTTGAGCAAAATCAACTGTTCTGTCTTCACTTTAGACATTACGCTAGAGAATCATTCAAACACTAGCTCTACAGTGATGTTGGTGAATGAGCAGCGGTTTCTGCTGTTCTGAGGTCAGCTGCAGATGTGAATGAACGGCGGAAGAAAGTAGTTCCTCTTACAAAAGGGTTTTTGAGACTCTCCGTGTTTGATTTTCTTTTTTGTATACACGATAATGCTGACGAACTGTTGTATAAACACAATATCACACTATATTGCACTGCTAATTGTGTGATATTGATCATGTATATATATATATATATATATATATATATATATATATATATATATATA